CATCATCAGCAGGCGCAGGTTCATCGTGGATGTCCAATGAGGGCATGCACCACCCCGGCGGGGGTACTTCATGGGAGCGGAACTTGCTGCGCAACTCAGATGTATCCACCAACAGAAACTCATGGCGATATTCAGCAAATATTCCAAAAATGTTGTCCTGTAAACTTGTAACCCAATGACGTCCACTATCCAATTCATCCAGGGCCTGCACATCTTCCAAAAGTTGCGAAGCCCAAGGGTTGGTGTCAGTGCTACAGCGAGGCCGCCGAGGATTGTCCCATGGAAATCGACCAAACATTGCAGCGAGCACATTGCTGTGGAGCGCAGGTCGAGACACCATACTTTGCAACCAACGCAACCGCCGAATGCGTAACTCAATCTGACAAGGAACGAGACGCAAGTAGTGCCAGACTTGCTGTGCGGACGCTGCAAGGTAGTGCTGCCATCCGGCAAGACCTGTTTTTCACATGCTTCACCCCGCATAAGCTTTCGGCCATACTTTTGGATGAATGCGTCCAGCCGTCGGAACTGCGACATAGTAAGCACAAGAGCCTCAAGACCAGATAACAGCGGCGCAACAACCATGCCAGCAAACACGATGCAAATGGCAAACCGCGGAAGGCTACTTCGTGACCAAAACCTGCCCATAGCAAGCCAACTTGAACGAGCAGCATGCTCTCTTTGATCCAGCTCATGATCTGCGCAATGTTTGAAATGTTGAATGCCACCGAGGTATTTGCTGTGGGTTGTGGTTGTTCCGGGAAGGAGTTGACCACCCAAAGCCCATCTAAAATTATCATAGCTGCCCTTACCAGAAAAACTAACAACATGCTCTTGTTTGTCCTTGTTTTGCGCCATTGTTGCTGTCGCCAAGGCCCGGTCCAACTCCCCATTGAGAACCCCAACCACTGTAGGCATTTCGCTTGGTCGCGCCAACACGCTAAGCTTTGCCACGTCATCAGCATACGAAGATACAGACACATCCACTTCAACATCATTGATGGGGTCAACAACCTGCACCCCCGTATCTGGAAGCTTCTGCCGAATGCCGTCCAACCAATCGTCCAAACAAGGGTGGTATACCTCCAAAAACATGCTGGATGCACAACAGTCTCCCTGCAAAGCTCCCGTTTGCGGCGAGAAGCACAGCAAGCCATCTGAAGCATCAATGCATACCGCAGTGCACGCATACCGTTGACGCATGAGCTCAAAGTCCCGACGATGAACAACCATCCGCATCCGACGGCCAAGAATGTCGTGCGAAGGGCTGTTGAAAGCATTTGCCACATCAAAGAAAGATTTGCAGTGCGACACACCGGCCTGCCGAGCACGGAAAGCCACCACATGTTGTTGAACGATAGCATCCAAGCGGCTCTTGTTAGAAATGTAGCCTGATGCATAATGTCGGTAAGACTGTGGCCGACCACGCGCCCACATAGTCGTATAAAAGCCTTTCCCAACAGGGTCCAACAATTGACCACACGCACAGCTGCACATCCATCTTTTTTGTTGTTCTTACCGATTTTGTGGCCAAAGCTTGTATTCCACAGGAGGGGTGTTGCGTTGTACATACGAACAGTGACCAACAAGTGAAAGAAACGTCGCCGGAAGTGAAAAGTGGGATTCGACGGAGGACAAAAACCGACTCCATACAAGGGCCGCCGCAAGAACCAGTCCGGCCGAAATAACATTCGCCAGACTTCAGCCGGCGCGCTCCACGGTGGAACTGCCTTGCGAAGCTTATGTTGCCAAACACGCTTGGAAATATCACGCATGTCCTGATGTGCAAGTTCTGCGGCAATCGCACGATCCATGTATGCACTGCGCGCCTGCTGTTGATCATTAGTCGCTGACCACTGCCTGGCATCCACCATCAGGCCCTGAGTGTGCCATGAATGTGCCCCACGCTGCCTTATCAGGCTGTTCACGAATGGGTTTGTCATAACGTCGTCGTTTGGGCCCCAACGATTTACCCGATAGACGCCGCGCCAACTGCCACATGTTTGACATCTGCCTGGTTCGGTAATAATATGAAAACTCATGTACCATGGACATGTCGCGCTGCAAGCGATCACGCCTGCAAAGTTTGTCATGCTCCCTACGTCGTCGCCAGTAACATGCCACAAGCCTCCACCGCTCCAGCATAACACGCATGTTTTCGAACATTGGGGCACCAGACCCCAGCTGAAATATCCTGCGGGCAGGCGGGGCTTGCACCATCTCAGTCCGGGCATCAACCATGCGTTCAAAAGCAAGAACAGTATCACAAGGTCGTTCACGCTGCACTGCCGCCTTTCGAACATAGCAAGTTTTGGCCGCTTCATATACCGTTTGGTTGAGCCTCGCCCAAGCTTTGTTGGGATCATTAACATTGACTGAATCCCAAGCAGAATCCATGCAGCGCATTTCCACTTCACGCAAGAAGGACTCACGGCGGTCACCATACAACAAATCGCGCACCAACCGATCTTTGTCCCAAGCAGCGTGTTCAAGCGAACAATCACAGGTCGACTGATATGCAAGTGTATGTTGAAAAACGACTTGAACAGGCTTGTGATCCCTCCAACCTGGGGCACCGATGCACTGCAACTTGGCCGCCGACCGATGAAGCAAGCGACAGCATGACACATTCGCAAATAGCGATTGAGGCAACACCACATAATCAATGCGAGATGTCGTCCCCATGTTACCCCTCCATGTATGTCCAATCGGAAAAAAAGTGTTAACAGCGACCAAATGCTGCTGATCAACCAAACGACGCAAGTGGCTGCCATTGTAGTTCTCTCGCTGCGCATTTGCAACACCAATCCCGTCAGAAGGAATGCTGCCAACACGTCCATTAGCATCACACAGAATGATAGGCACACAACGGCCAGGAAGTTGACTAATAACCCAATCAACATATGACCACAATCGGGCCACCAACCGTTGCTCAGATTGCTTATGCGGCTCAACTGGTACGTACACCGACAGAATGCAGAAATCAGCGTCTTTGCGTTTGACACGTACTCCACCAAGTCTGCCAGAGAATTCCTTTGGTGGAGAACTGACTTTAACAACGTTTCTCGGACTGAAGGCCCTCCCATGAAGTGCAACAATAACACCTGCACCCCTCTGCGTATACAAGCAGCCAGGCCTGCAAGGGAAATCATATACACATGATACTTTCCAACCTTGAACTGCCGAACTTCCAACTCGTCTGCAGAGGCCCATCTGTTAGTGCCCTGGAGCCCAATGAATGTGTTGAAATCAAGTTCGCGCAAGATGTGTTGTAGCCTGTCAGGTTTGCAGGACAGTGGATTATAGGCAACAGCAGCCCATTCACGCATAGACTTTGCATTAGCAGGCCCACTGCAGCAAAGGGATCAATAATTGTGTGGCCTCTTGCACCACACTAGTCTACCTGCAACTGCGCCCTGCTACTGCTCGACAGTGCAAAGGGGCTTGGTGTCATTGTGGACCGATGCAATGCCTCCATGGACACATGCACCGAGAGTAATGGACCTGGGCTCTAGCTCTTGCGTCCTGGCATGCTTTGAGACATGCCTGGTATGCTGCACAGTGGGGAGCAGGTCAAAGAGCCTTCGGAGTTGCGAGAAGTACACCCATCTGCCGCGCAGACATCCTTGTGCCAATGCCTCGTAGCTGTTCTGAGGCTGCGGCTCGTCCCAATCCCAGTCCCTTAATGAGGCCAGTGAAAAACCTGCATTTGCCGATGCAGTGTACAGACTCAAGGCACTCTCGGCTGAAATGCGTCATGGTGCTCACCGATCTTGTTTGAGCCTGCTGTGTTGGGCGAAGGAAATGAGTGAAGTTGCGACCATTGATCTGTGCCGGTGATTTCCTCCGGGGCCGCTTGGTCGCTCTGTCTCCTTCCACCCCTGACCCTGTAACCTCATGGACCTGGACACCTTCTGCACCGTCTTGGTGTTCTCCGACCTTGGCCTCCTCCTCCTCAAGGCTATCCGAGATGTCAAGGTTTATCCCAGAGTCCAGGACGTTTCAGGGCGCAAAGCGCCTAAATAATCCTCGGGCCAATCTCTGTAACTGGAACATACTGCGGCGAAGCTCCTTGATCTCTTCAAGGAGCTCGGATCTGCCACGCCTGTCTTGGCCTTGGCCATCCCCGCTGCCGCTGCCCCAGGCATCGGATTGTCCCCAGCCCTCTTGATAGGCTCGCTTCGAGCGTCCCCAGTTAGACCAGGGATCATCCTCCTTCTGTTGGCCCTTGCCTCGTTGTTGACCCTTCTGTCCAGCTGAAAGCTTTGCCGCCTGGGGTCGCGACCCGCTTCATTCACCCTCCGTCCCGGCCGTAGAAGGCGGCGCCGTGCTCAAGGTGTCCATATTGACACCAGCCGGAAAATACTGCCGGAACATGCTTTCCTCGATCTGGGAGGCCTTGTCCTCATCCATGTCATCACGGAGATGCTCCTGTTCCGCCATTGCTAAGGATAAGAGGCGGGCCGAGGAGGTGCTTCCAAGCTCAGCATCGCTTCAGCCAAAGGAGGTACACATTTGATTCCAACATCCGACTCATATTGACCGCGTTAGCTGGAACTGAATCATCAGTGTACATCCATTGGTCGTTTACCCTGAGAAGCGCACGATAGTGGCCGCTGTGGGTGTGCCTGCCCAAATGTATGATTGTTGAAGTCACAATGTACTGATCCCAGGCAAGCTGTAGATTTTGCGTGAACCGTGGCACATAGA